AAACTTTCCGATCGCACCTCGTACACCATACTGAAGAACATCTCGAATACAAGTTACAGACCTACACTACATTCTGGAAATCCCATACAAGTACATACCATACCACACTACCTGAGATTTCCCAGTCCATAACATTTTCTCCTAATGAGATTTATGCAGTCACTGACAAACTGTATATGCTCTGCCATCTTTAGCAAACATTTGAAAAGTATTTATTTTCCCAAAATACTAGAATCAGCGAGCTATGAAATGTTCAGCAATCAAAGGGTTAAAAAAATTTAAAAAAAATCACATACTAATGCGTTGAATGATGGAAGTGTATTTGATAAATATGATGTTAGTTTTGCACTTCAAATAAAAATCAGGAACTGCTGCATCTGAAATTTGTCTGTCCAACATCTTGAACATCACACACAGGATGGTATTATCTGTGCATAAGATCAACTCATAACAGAAGAACTAAATTAAACAAGGGCTGATTCCAAACAGGTATAATGCCAACATAATATATCTTATATCTTACTCCATATTTTATTTCAGCATAGCAAAACAATTTTAACATATTACATTACATACAACAAGGCACTGGCAAATAATTAATATTTCTGTAATGTACTTGTTAGAAGACATGCCTAAACTTTAAAAACTCGACAGACAGGAAAAAAGTATTTTACATTCAAAAGAAAATCATTAGAATAATGGCAAGGACTAAAAGGAGGACCTCAGAGAGAGAATTGTTAAAGAATGTAATATTCTTCCAGTATCCAGTGAATTCTTTCTCTCATTATTTTTTGTAGCGAACATTGAAAAATTTCAAACTCAGAAATCCACAATACAAACATAAACTTATGCCACACACTAAACTCTGTAAATATAAAAAAGGAGTTTACTGTACTGGAATTAAGCTATTCAATAATCTCTCCCCCCCCCCCCAATATAAAAGTCTGAATCACGATATAAAGGCGTTTAAGCAGTAGGACTTAAAGTTTTCAAGGCGGAGTCTGAAGATAGATGGCTTCTGGGTGGCTGCGCCGTGTAGTCGGGTAAGATGATGACAGCAAGGACCTCTGCAACGTCGGCAAACTTCTACCAACACTACCCGGTGCAGCAACCCAGAAGACAGCCATTTTCACGTTTAACCCAGCACTGAAAGAGTATCTCCTAACTCATACTCCATAGAAGAATTTATCTCACACTAAAATTCTCATTTATTATAAATACATGTATGCAACAGTGGTAATGCTTTTTTGCAGTAATACTGTAGTTGACTAAATTACGGTCATAAGTATGCAATTGATATTTGTATTGGAAACAATTGTTGTATTTGTGCAATGACATGTTATACATCCTTGGCATGGGCCTATGAAGGATCTATGGAATGTAAAATAAATTCTATTCTAAGCTTGGAATTGTAAGACAACAGCTGATTAGTGAAAACATGCAACATTGTTTACCAACTGCAGATTGTTTGTATACAGTCTATCAGCAGTCGCTAAACTGTATGGAATCCATACTACGGATAATGCTTACAAACAAAATTACTGTGGATGCACATAATTTATTTATGACCCGGATGTTGTACGCAAACTATTGCGATGTAGGTAACCAATTACGGACACTACGAAATGACGCCCAACACAAAATAACACACAAACCCAAAATTTTCTAATGTGCTTAACAGTTTATTACACAGATAATACCAATATTGGCTATCCTGCGTTATTAAATGTTCTCTTGTTTTGCATGTCAAAGTGAGGCGGAGAAGGGTTTTTATAGTTCACGATCTGTGGCTTTAAACTATACGTCGTGGAATACAGGAATCATAATTAACGGTAACTGGTACGATGTTTGAGTTTAATTTAAGCTTAGAAGGCAGTTGTTCGGACAGCATTGTAAATTGTGAAGTTGAAGATAGTTTGTTGTACAACGATAGGTTATGGCATTGATGTAAACAATGAATATAAATAAATTTTGTTGTTCTTAGGTGTAGTGCACGAAAATCTGTAGTCATGCAATTCGCCCAGAACTATTCAGACGTTGAGAAGCCACGTCCGTCGGTGTTAGATCACTTTGTGCCTGGACTTATTGGTAATGATGGTTCTGCAGGCTGGCTTCAAGTTCCACCATCACAAATGCCTTGGGGAATTCCTATGGCTGATCAACCCACCATTGTGAGGTAAAAATAGAGAGAAAAAATAACATATAATGTATATGTTGGTAATTTGAAAATATGGCACAAGACTTTTATGGGTCAAGAAAAAGAAAGTTAACCTAACCTACATAGTTAAACAGATTGAGGTTAGGCTGGGTTTTAAACTGCCTGTGACTGAAACTGATGAAAGTAGAGACTGGCACAATGGGTCTCTACCGAGATTAATTTATTCACTACAGGTAATCTTAGCAAACCTTATTGTTTAACCTGTTCACTTTGTTTACCTAATCATATCAGTGGATGTGTTATGTTGGACCTGGGTTTTTATGTAATCACACCTTATGTAATTTGACATCCAGTATTATTATTTTGGGACCACATTATTTTTCTCTCAATGTGGTGAATGAATCTGCAAAAATAATAACTGAAATAAAGGATATCTAAGTTTTAAATTCAAAATTTGCATACAATGAAATTCTACAAATTAACAATATTATTTTAATAATAAAGTTTCCTAGTAAATATCTTAATTGTTTTCTAACAGTTAATATGTTTATATTTAACAAACCTCTTTCAAGTCTAGACTACAGTCACCACTTCCAGTGAACTGCTGAGGTCTCCATGAATCACTGCTATAACCCAAGGCAGGACAGGTTTGGGCATGGATTACCTTGGACCAGCCTATGAACAAAGAGTGGTAGATCCCCAAAGACTGACTGTTAAACCAGACAGATCCAGGAATGAAGACTGATAAGAAACCTGTTGACTGACTGATGAATGAGACCAGTTAGTGAACTGATCAAAGTAAATGTTGGATCTCTGAAACTGAGACTCAATCCAGTCTCTTACGTAACTGATTTGTTAATTTGAACCCATTTGCTCTGAAACGTAACTTCACTAGTTCAAAACATTTATTTACTAACATACGAAAGAATACATAAAAAGTTCAAATGACTATAGTTACCAAAATGTATTTTTTAATGTGCGAAAGAATATATAAAAAGTTCAAATGACCATAGTTACCAAAATGTATTTTTTAATGTGGCATAGCAGAACTGCACTTCATAACAGCCATTTTTTTAATTTAAGATGTCATTGAACAGAGGCATATACCTGTGTTATGAGGTTTAGCATATTTATTCTTGTTTTAACTGTTTAGATTTACAGCTGAATCTTCCCCCAGTATGAAGTCATCAGAGCCATGTATTTATGGTTTCTCCCAAGCTAAGAGGAAGTTTGACTCAGAGGATATACCGTATGTATTGCTATTTTTGTTAACAATATCCAGAATATATCAAATGTCCTTCATATTAGAAGGCTGGTTATGATGTAAGATGTAAGCATGCCAAATATGTTAAGTGTGTCAAGATTTTTTTATTCTGAAAACCAATAATGGTAAAGTAGGATAAGAGAGTGTGCTTCAAATTTGGAAATGTAAGAAGTAATTGGAATTCGTCCTGCACTGCTACCATCATGCCTACAACTATTTGTACCTTTCTTGTCCCCATTAGATTGGGCAGGAGTGATGAAAGTATTGACAGTACAGAATTAACTTTTGGGAAGCGTTTATGAAGTCGGAAGACAAGTACGTACTTTACAGGTGGACGCTCATTAAAAGTTGGTGACAGTAATCAGTACAGTTATTTAATGGGCTGTGTACATCTGAACTTTGCAACTGAAAACATTATAGAAATAATATCTTTATTTTATAAACTACAGAAATCAGAGTAGATGCATCTATAACATTAGTTCCTGTAAATTTTCCTTTTATTATTATTGTTGTTGTTGTTGGCGGCACACAAAATATCATAACCATGCAATTTTTTTGTAAATTTTCCTTTTATTAGTATTGTTGTTGTTGGCGGCGCACAAAATATCATAACCATGCAATTTTTCTGGCAAACTTCCTGAAACATTTTGCATACTCATCAAGGAATTGCAAACCACAGACTGGGAACATCTGCTTCAGAGAAAGTTGGTTCTGTAAGGCTGTACTGTTATGCAGGTTGCCAGTGAAGCAGCATATCACAGAAGAAAAGATGGCAGCACATTTGAGTCAGCTACACATCAGCTCAGATTATACAGCGCACCAGCCTGAACCAAGAGAGGATGAGCAGCAGCACATGAAACGCCTTGTACTATGTGATGAGCTCAGAAAGTTGAAGCAGGAACCTATACTCCCTCCAGCTTTGCTTTCCAGACTGTAAGTTAACCTCTGCTGCCAATATCCACAAGTGTCCCCTATTCCCTGATTTCTGCTGTTAATGTACACATTTTTGTACGTAAATTTGCATTTTGATGTTAATATTTAAAGAGAATTTATTTATATCTTGTGGCTGTCATATGACGTACTTCATAAGAAAAGTACTGATAATCACACTAAATGTCTTGTTGTCGTTGTTAGCACTCCTGTTTCTTGTTCAGGATGTTTTCCTTGTGTAAATATTTACTGGCTTCTCTAAAATATTTTGTGGTTTTCCTCAACATAGTCTTGTATGAGAATTAGTACTTTAAAATTTGTCGTACCTCATCGTTTGTAATCATCCTCCTATTTCACACTTACTCTTATGTTTAACATAGAGTCATTAAATAAAGAAATCAAAATAATTAAAATAATTGAACATTTCCTCATTACTCTTGTTCCATGCTCAGGGAGAAACGAAGCATGGCTCTGGTGCTGTGGCAGCCTCCTGCTAGGAGTAGCAACCCAGCACTTAGTAGAGGAAGAATTCAGTCCGAGGAAGACAACAATAACACAAGTGCAGTGGACCTCAACTCCATTTCTACATCGGGGTATGCTTTTCTTTATAGTTTCAAGATTACTAACCTTAAGATACACTTTAACAGTGACAGATGACCCACATGAACTGAAAACATCTTAGGAAGAAGATATACGGTGAAATAATTTAAAATTCAGGTTGTTGTATTGTGGGTTGTTACACCATATGATCTTGTGGATGGTTATCAACATTACAGAATATCCTGTTGCCTTCATGTTCAGGTTAGATGTAGGTAAATAATAATAATAATAATCTGAGAGCCAAAGCCGACTAGCTTGACTGCTGGCCTCACGTTCACATGCCTAAGCAGAGGTGAACGATCATCCAACCAGATATAGGGTGACGTGTGGTCAGCACGACGAACCCCCAGCCATTGCTTGTTTTCATGACTGGATTACGCTACCCATTGTAGCTCCCCAATTTCATGACCGGATTACACTACCCATTGTAGCTCCCAAATTTCATGACCGGATTACGCTACTCATTGTAGATAGCAGGTTTTACTGAAATTTCAGTAGTATAGCATCCTGGTTTGTCAGTTATGTATTCCTTACTTTAATATCATTGTCATTGTCACTTTTTCATACTCTTACACACTTTTCACTGTTTTTGAGGCATTTGTTATCACTGAACTACATGTTTTGACTGAAAACTGTCATCATCAGGTTTTTAAATTGTATGGAAGCTATTGCATCTGATGCACATAACTTTTATTTACATAGATGTGCAGTAGTTCCATTCAATTTTATAACCTGACAATGATGATTTTCGATTGAAACATTTAGTTCAGTAATAATGAGCTCTTGAAAAACAGCGAGAAGTTCCTCTGACTGCACTGTTGAACCCTCACAGCTGTGAAACTGAAAATCCCATAATTTTATAATGTTGTATTATTGTGTGGTTTATTTAACAATGCTGTCATTTAAGGAATAAGCTTCTGAACACAGAGCAGATTAATGTGTGAAATATTTCTTTCGCTGATACATTGCCGTCAATTAACTACTTTGTCATATATCTTTGGTGGTAAGTATGAAGGGCTTCAAATATATTTTGTATTGACATAAGCTCTACTTACCAAGCAGAAGATGCTATGATGCAGTTAGGTTTTATGTGTACGACAGTATGTACTGCCACACGGGGAAGATACAAGTCATAGGTTATCATTTTTGTGTCTAATCAGATTATAATTATGCCTTTTATGTGTCTGACTGTGATTCTTCTTCTTCTATGGTTCTCCGGTCCGTATTCGGTCCATGACCTCCTCAATTCTCCTCTTCCATTCGGTCCTCTGTTAGGTCCGTCTGTCCGAGGCTTTGATCGAGGTTTCGAAACATCTTCCTTTTTACGGTGCAAGGTTGTTAGCCTTGCGACCAACCCCCAACCTGGAGGACCGGGGTACCTGTCTTAGTCTGACCTCTCCCCCTCGACCAATCTGGCTTGGGAGGCCCTACCAGTAGCTCTAGGGGTCACTGAGGTACTGAAGCCCCACAACCACGACAATATTTCACATATTATTTTGTTAGTGTTACAAAATCAATGCAAAACAAAGAAGGAATATGTCTACATAGATTTTTATATGCATCCTGTGATAATGAGACATCTAATCAGAACCACTTAAATTGTTTATCTTCACTGGTTCACAAACCATTGGTTATGAAGTAACACATACACATTTTGTATACTAACATTATTTTAAAGCAAATTCTCACATACAACCATAATTAATATGGTTGTGGTCCAGTTGTTTATGTTAGTAAAGATTGTTTGTGTAACTGCATTGGGATTGGCGAGGTCATCTGCAAGGAAGGGGTCATTTAGGGAGTAAGAATCTTTTGAATTCCAGAGGGATAAAATTTCCAAACGCTGGACTAGACCTATGATTAGACCTTTTTGGGTAGTCTGTAAAAAAAGAGGAACACTTTCTTGCAGTCCCCACCATGCAATAATACCATCTTTTGTTTCTTCTACAGGTTCACTGCTTCAGAAGACTCTATGATGGAATTGTGAGTGGCTGTAGTTGTGTGTGATGTGTTGACAGAGAGAAAGTGTGTGTGTTTAATTTATCCGTGCTGGAAAAGATGCGATGTAGTTACTGTGGCAGTGACGTCTGTAGTAATAGAAGTAGTAGGGGATTTTTTTTTTTGCATTCAGCTCGAACACAGTTCATTAAGATGTACCAATATTTTTAATCGTTAAGTTAAGGATGATGACACAGAATTTAGGCCGTCATAGGTCCAGTTGTTTTTATTCTCATTATGAAACTCATATTTTACCCACACAATTTTATTATTCCATTAAATTAAATTTGCTTATCAGGACTTAACTATGACCTCTCTGAAAGTTGAAACTCCGGAGAATTTTTTTTTTTTTTTTGCCAAAATGAAATATTATTGTATTGACTTGATTATGGTGAAAAATAAAATGAGCGATAAATTGAAGTTGCAGAAGATAGTTGAAGTGTTCATTTCTACTTTCATATTCTGAATCATAAGAATGTGTGTAAGTGAGATAATGCAGTTTCCGGGACTTGTCCCGGCCTAACTTATGTGTCAGTGCTTATTTTGTATAACTTAAGAATGTAGCAAAGATATATTGTGACAATACAGGTTGTGTTTATTTTGTGTTTTTTGATGTATACCAGTTGCATTTGAAAACCTAGGTTCCAAGTTGTACATTCTTTGTATTGCAGTAAACTTCAGATGTGAATGTAAAATTTGAGGTTTTCATAGCGGTGAGTATGAAGATTTCTGTCTTCTGGGTGAATCGCCCTGATGACGGAGGCAGTATGACCTCTTAAACATTGGTAAACATCGACCAGACTACACAGCGCAACAACCCAGAAGACAGAAATCTTCAGATGTGAACTTTTCCTTTTACGTTTTATTTAAGAAAGTTTTGCAGTTGGCAGCTTGAGTAATTACAGTTTTGACATCAAGTTGCTAAAATTGTTACAGAAGAGTTTTGATCGATCCTTATAATTGGGTACAAGCATCAGAGTAATATTTCATATAACCATATTTTAAAGTTTGGTCATGGTGCAGCATTTACAGAAGTCAAATTTGACACTTCTACATGACAGTTCAAGTGTATTTCATTTGTGCTGGGTTTCAGGAAGACATGATTTCCGCCTGATGATTACATGTGGTGAGAGTCTGTGGAGTTACGTTTAAGACATTGGTCAGGAAATTACAAAATATCTCGCGCAGGATGCGATTGTAATAACACCCGAAGCAAGGATAACAATTACATACCACATTTGAATTGTTCGGCAGTTGGCTTGTTCACCAAGTATTTGAGCAACATTAAATTTTAAATCACTTCAAAGTCTCTGAAAATCATAACTTGATATTGTATTGCATGAAACTGACTTATCTAAAATGCTGTCTTGCTCACTTTCAGTTTAAAGATTCGGTACTTTCGGGTTATTGGGACACATCGCTTTGAAAATAGGTTAGGTGAAATAAAATATAATAACTTTCAAGTATATGTCATTTATCCACACACACATTAACCTAACCTAACCTATTTTTAAAGCGATGTGTCCCGATAACCCACAAGTACCAAAGATTCTTTTGAGACTGTGAGTATATGTACAATTTACTATATGGCCTAGTATTTTACATAACATTCATGAAAGTTTCAAACCCAAACTAAAAATTATTATTCTGACTATCAGAGCACATATAAATTCTAGAAAGAACTCATGACTTGTTTAATGCATTAATTTCTGTGGAGATGGCAGGTGATATTAAAAATAAATAATCGTACAGCTCAGTGATCTGGTTTTGCATGTGACTTTTTACAGTTTTTATTTTCACTACCTGAAGGTTGACAGAACTATAGTGCGCGACTGTAATCTTGAGACTTGCAAGGAATGCAGTAAGTCCTTAGCGTTAAAGGCAGAAGTTATCTTTTCTCCTTCACCTCACTTCCTCACTCTGCAAGTCTCAAGATTAGTCTTACACTGGAGTTTGAGTTATGCTTCATTTTCATCTTCGCACCTTTTGACATGCACAAAAATATGGCGTGTAATATTTATAGGTTAGGTTTTCAACTGCAACAAATACACATTTTCACATGCCTACTTTCCGATGTCATTGTTCTCAAACAGAATAGTAAATATCAATTATATTCCTCCAACCACAAATTCTTCATCTAAGCTAATACTTTTGCTGGTGATATTAGTATCATCCTGATAGCGACTGCTTTCAGAATTCTCTGCTGACCTGAAAAAAATGGCTTAAAGCTAGTAAACTCACATTCAATTTTGACAAGACAAACTTCATTACATTTTGTACTAAGGAAATAATCAATTTAAATATAGGTTATGATAATAAAACAACTGCAGAAGCATTAATTAAATTTATTGGCTTTTAATAACTTACATTGGGAAAAAAAACATTGAATATATTATCCCCAAACTTTGTTCAGCATGATTTGCCATGAGGACACAGTAATGTTGAAAATGGATACTTTAAAACTACTTTACTTTGCTTATTTCCATTCCATAATGTCATATGGCATTTTCTTCTGGGGAGGTTCGTCAGACGGCAAGAGAGCTTTTTCAGCACCATAATATAAGTGTTTAGTTTCACCCTCCGACCGCCATACCCGCTCTGTGCCGGAAATCAAACTCCGTAGCCGGTCACTGTACTGACCGATCTTTCTTATTACTCTGCCATCTCACTTGCATATGTGACGGTTTTGCACGATTACCCATCGAATTCTGCATTTACCCCTTCAGAGGTGTTTTGGGAGCTCAACCTCCTTTACTTCTATCACACACAGTGAAATTACCGAACGAGTTTCTTCCCCATTCTTCTCTTACTCCTTTTTGTATAACTATATTAAGTACTTAACATTTATTCTATTGTCTAATGTGACATTATCAGGGAAGCACAATTACCAACTATGCACCCATATCCTTCATATGGAGGCAGCATTTTCCTTCGAGAAGCCCATAATTTTCACGAGTGACAAGTTCATCCGAGTCGTTTTGCTGGAACGAGACTGAACATTTCTCGGAAACGCAAGTAATTTTTGCCACAAAGGGGCAATTTCCTCCTAAACGTATGTAAATTTAACATCAATACAGACTATATTGAAGACCTTTCAAGTATCGAATGCATGTCTTTTTTTTCCGCTGCTAGTACATAGAGAATCCAAAGCAGGAGAACATACAGCGTTGTTGCAAGCGTTAAAGGCAGAAGTTATCTTTTCTCCTTCACCTCACTTCCTCACTCTGCAAGTCTCAAGATTAGTCTTACACTGGAGTTTGAGTTATGCTTCATTTTCATCTTCGCACCTTTTGACATGCACAAAAATATGGCGTGTAATATTTATAGGTTAGGTTTTCAACTGCAACAAATACACATTTTCACATGCCTACTTTCCGATGTCATTGTTCTCAAACAGAATAGTAAATATCAATTATATTCCTCCAACCACAAATTCTTCATCTAAGCTAATACTTTTGCTGGTGATATTAGTATCATCCTGATAGCGACTGCTTTCAGAATTCTCTGCTGACCTGAAAAAAATGGCTTAAAGCTAGTAAACTCACATTCAATTTTGACAAGACAAACTTCATTACATTTTGTACTAAGGAAATAATCAATTTAAATATAGGTTATGATAATAAAACAACTGCAGAAGCATTAATTAAATTTATTGGCTTTTAATAACTTACATTGGGAAAAAAAACATTGAATATATTATCCCCAAACTTTGTTCAGCATGATTTGCCATGAGGACACAGTAATGTTGAAAATGGATACTTTAAAACTACTTTACTTTGCTTATTTCCATTCCATAATGTCATATGGCATTTTCTTCTGGGGAGGTTCGTCAGACGGCAAGAGAGCTTTTTCTGCACCATAATATAAGTGTTTAGTTTCACCCTCCGACCGCCATACCCGCTCTGTGCCGGAAATCAAACTCCGTAGCCGGTCACTGTACTGACCGATCTTTCTTATTACTCTGCCATCTCACTTGCATATGTGACGGTTTTGCACGATTACCCATCGAATTCTGCATTTACCCCTTCAGAGGTGTTTTGGGAGCTCAACCTCCTTTACTTCTATCACACACAGTGAAATTACCGAACGAGTTTCTTCCCCATTCTTCTCTTACTCCTTTTTGTATAACTATATTAAGTACTTAACATTTATTCTATTGTCTAATGTGACATTATCAGGGAAGCACAATTACCAACTATGCACCCATATCCTTCATATGGAGGCAGCATTTTCCTTCGAGAAGCCCATAATTTTCACGAGTGACAAGTTCATCCGAGTCGTTTTGCTGGAACGAGACTGAACATTTCTCGGAAACGCAAGTAATTTTTGCCACAAAGGGGCAATTTCCTCCTAAACGTATGTAAATTTAACATCAATACAGACTATATTGAAGACCTTTCAAGTATCGAATGCATGTCTTTTTTTTCCGCTGCTAGTACATAGAGAATCCAAAGCAGGAGAACATACAGCGTTGTTGCAACAAGTTTTAAATTGTAATCATTTTGACTTGGTCACTTTCACACAATGAAGGCAATAAGATCGAATTAAGGGACGTAATAAATGCTCGTGTAAGACGCAAAGAAAACATGGCAACAGGGTTTGATGTCATAAAACGAGGGGACTTTCTATTCAAGCGCGTAGCAGCTTCTGAACAGTTCGAATGGACACCGACACATACACGCTCTATGTTAAGCTAAATAACTCTGCTGCTTCCACGGATGGAATGCATGTGTCATACAAGTGCCAACGACTCCGCATATAGTCTATAACAATTTTAACCTACCTACTTGAATTGTTCTTGACAAGTTACAACCACCTGCCGAAGTAGACAATGGAACTTTAATCACTTGTTCAGTTTGATATGAACATTTTCCATCGATGCTTTTATTAAGGAATGAAACGCGTGTGATTACATATGTGAAATGAACAAAGTATCTTCAGACAGGACGGATCGTCTATGTGTGAGTCAGTGCCAAGTAATGAGGCAGTTGTCAAGGGGGAGGGGGGACCTACATCAGTGCTGCCATGCAGTACACGGCCAAGCCGCTGTAAAAGTAGATGCTTGTAGGTAGGCAGACGGTTGGTTTGGTCGTGAAACTCTCGTATATTGTGTCTCGTTGGCAAGAAGAATATGTTGTCTGGTTGAAGCAGTGTGACCTGCAAAGAATTTAGTGGATGCACAGTGTAGTCACGTAGTTTTCAAGTGGTTAAACAAATGAAGGTGATTCGCCGTAGCAATTCCACTTTGTTTTCATTCGACTCTATAACGAGTTCCAAATACGGGAACCTGTTTCAGTGAGACAGATTGACAGGTTTGGTTCGAACGTGTGTAGTGCTTTTAGATTGATGATGATGGCTGTCGTGTCTCGCGGTGCTGTGACCTGATTCATTGGAATGTCTTCATAGCTGACAGAAATGTCTTCGGACAACAGCAGCGGCAATGCGAATTTCAATCCACGCTATTGCCTTCCACGACCTGCATCGACTTCGCCTCGTACTAGTACATTTCCTGCACCGAAAGATGGCACGACAGGGAATGCTGGATGTCGGCTACACGGAGGATTGGCAAGGTAAAAGGTTCTTGCAGAGATGCACCAGGCTTTCTATAAATATGAAATTGTCACGTCTGTATCTTGTCCCGTTGTGTCGGAAATATCAGCAGGAGTTCACATGTTGAATAAAAAACCATTAAGAAGTTTACAAAAAAACTGTCTCTTGTAAAGAACTGTAGGAAATGTTTTTGCACGTAATGAATTCTCAATCTCTGTCGTTTCAAACAAATTTTGACATACATATTAAACACAAGGCATAATTATGACCTCCGTATACCGAATGCTAGCCTCAATAGTAATGAGAAAGGTGCTTACTATACGGTGAACACGTTATTCAATACTCTTCCATCTAGTGTTTTACGTTTAAATCATAAATCAGGTATTTAGGCCGGCATTGAAATACCTTACGTCTCAGGGCTAGTCTGTAGAATCAATTACATTTAACGTTGCAAATATTTATGTAAATAGTTTAAAGTACTTTGCAGTTATATTGTATTGGTATTTGTGTTGTATTCACATGACGTGCTCTGATCCTTGGCTTGTGTTATGAAGGTATATATAACGTAAATAGTTTGATTTTTCTTTTCATAATGAATTTTACTTCACGGTGCCCTGTTAACTACATAGGATTAGCAATTCATCGTTAACTGGGTAGGATGGTAAAGGAATCGTTCGAAATCCATTCAAACAGGGTTGCCAGGCGTTTCATACGTAGTGCATCATCCCGTTAGTTATTCCCAGGCCTGTCTCATGTTGTGGTCCAGATATGTTTACTTGAGTGATTGATTTTTGCGTTATATGTCAACATTCTTTTTACTTCGCCGTCTATGTAGTAGATCTACGAGGCATCTTGAATTGGAAGGGCGTGGAAGGAAGTGTCCACTATTTTATAGTTTAGTTATATCCGCCGCCTTTACGTGGGGGGAACTGAGTAAAAAACTGGAAAACAACAAAACGTTATTAACCCCACAAACACGAGTTGATGTTTATTTGCTCGTGGTTTAGTAACTCAGTCACATGTCCTGATAGGATGATTAATACATAATGATTGGTAAGAATGCGGAAGGGAGCAGTTGTGGCCTATTTTAAGACATTACCCCGATTTTGCCTGGAGGGACTAAAAGTTACCATATATAAAACTATAAATCTTAAATTCTACAAATGGAATTTAATAATTAGGATTTGAGGCTTTCACAGCAATGAGTATGAAGATGGCTGTCTTCTGGGTTGTAGCGCTGTGTAGTCTGGTAGATGTTAACCAACGTTTCAGAGGTCATACTGCCTCCGTCATCAGGGCGATGCGTATGAAGATTTCTGTCTTCTGGGTTCTTGCGCTGTGAAGTCTGGTCGATGTTAACCAACGTTTCAGAGGTCATACTGCCTCCGTCATCAGGGCGATGCGTATGAAGATTTCTGTCTTCTGGGTTCTTGCGCTGTGAAGTCTGGTCGATGTTAACCAACGTTTCAGAGGTCATACTGCCTCCGTCATCAGGGCGATGCGTATGAAGATTTCTGTCTTCTGGGTTCTTGCGCTGTGAAGTCTGGTCGATGTTAACCAACGTTTCAGAGGTCATACTGCCTCCGTCATCAGGGCGATGCGTATGAAGATTTCTGTCTTCTGGGTTGTTGCGCTGTGTAGTCTGGTAGATGTTAACCAACGTTTAAGGGCAGTTGCCCTGATGGTGGAGGTAGCAATGACCTCAAAAATGTTGTTAAATTTCTACCAGACTACACAGCACTACGACCCAGAGGACCAGAGGACAGTGATCATCTGAGTTGATAATTATTTATGTGTGCATAATTTGAGGGTGGTGTTACATGATGAGGGACTTTGTAATGTGACAGAACACTAATCAACTGACAGTGGTTGCATCTCTGATACATCTGTATCTGTGCTTGTGATGCTGGTGAGGAATCTTCCAAGGAGGATGGTTCTTTAGAAGGTAATGGTCACTAAGCTCGCCAAGAAATTTCTTCCCTTTTGTGGAATGCTAAGCTTCATTACCATATTCATAGCAGCACGCTATCGACCCTATGAAATCAAATGAATCCAGTCAATACCCTCACACTGTAATATTATCCTGCCGTCTAATCCCAAATATTCTATATGATTCTTCCTGTAAGTTTCTCTCACTTTTCTCCACCCTCGTCTGAACATTCTCCCCAAAGTGAGAGAATAGAAGATTCCACCGTAATTAGTAAGTTGTCAGATATTTAGTTTCAAAATGCAGGATACAGCATTTTAGGAGGCAGTGGATGGAGTGAGGGGTGGAAAACAAGGAACTTAAGGTAATCAGACCCCAAAATTTAAAACAGTTTCTGTAAGGTGCGCTGATAAGAAGCCATCCCTTCTGTGAAACACTGTCGTTCTTCCACTCTCAGCACCACTTTGATGAAGTAACAGTGGAATGGAGACAATTACATAAAGCTGACCTTCACAATTTGTGCTTTTCATCGACATTAGTATGATGATTATCGTTCATGTTATTCTGCCTACGGCAGTGTTAATTTTCCCTCGTCATATTCGATGAACGTAAGCTGCTTGGATCTTCCAACCACCCATTTGAGCCTTCTTCCTTAACAAATTCTTTCCTTCTGATCCTGTATGAATTCTTTATAACCAGACTTTGCTGTTTCCCTCGGGCAGGTGCAAATGTATTGTCGATAGTAGAAATAGCTGCTAAGTTGAAGACAACATTATGTACATGGTGTAAAGAACATAATTTACTAAGACCATAGAACAAGTCATTGAGGAGCTGATGATCTACGTGGTTAGTCATCGAGAAATTCTCACCTTTTATGCAACATCAAAGTTCTCACAAAAGCCAGTAGTTGGACTTCATTCTGGGCTAGATGAATACGGTCCACATCCTAAGTCCCGTTTATTTAAGAACTAATTTTTTTGAATAAAAATTTTCTTGGATATTATCCATCGTCTAGTAAATATAAAACGTAAAACGACGTTTCGGAGATGGGAAAAAGTACTTTGTCTGGAGATAGGGATTAGCTCTATCTAGTGGGCCCAACTGTGTAGGAACCTGAAGACGGAGATAGAGTCCCATCTCCGAAACGTCGTTTTTTACGTTTTATATTTACTAGACGATGGATAATATCCAAGAAAATTTTTATTCATTTGACTCTTCACCATCGTCAAGAAGTTTTAGATTTGATATACTAATTTTTTTGTTTATTACCTTAATTTAATCCCATCTTTCTCTCTGTGGTTTCTGTGGGGATGTCAGAACATTTCTGCACAACGGTAACAAAAATCAAATTTTTTTTTAACATAACAAAACGAAACTTGTTTGTATATTATTATAAATCGTAACATAACGAGTCCATACCTTGCTTCCAAAAAAATCCGTAATTACATTGTGGTTTATCTGAAGTCTGGAGCCTGGAGACACGCGTTGCAGACCTTCGGCACAAAACCAGCCATTGCCCCACGCTGAGACCGGGATTTTTTTTATTTATTTTTTACATTTATCCCCCACGTGACAAAGTGAATAGAAGGTCAGATATCTTAATGTCTGTGTGTTGAGTGAAATGATTCTTTGGGGGGCAGGGTTGACAAGGGTTAGCGTCGTTATACAGTTATAACACACACACAAATTCTGTCCCCCCCCCCCCCATTTGTCTTCGCAAGAATGCGAGAGTGCCTATTTGCATATGTAGACTTTACTTATCTGAAACTAACTTAAGACAGTTTATTATGGCATTGAGAACTATCTAACTAGCTTACTAACTTAGGTAGTATGCAAATGATTGATCTACGGACTTCCTTTGTATAATGTTATTAGATGTTCAAGAAATGCCCTAATAATTTTATTAAACGTGAACTGTCAACATCCCTGATAGGTCTAACTGGTGTCATTTAAGACCGGTTAATACAATTGGAACCTTTGGGTTGCTTAAAATGTTATTTTATAATCTCAATAAACTATAAACTTTATAATCTCTGTACGTTGTGGTCTCTTTCCGTAAGATTTCTGAACAGTGATGTATCAATTTGCTAATACCTCCGTGAACCCCCCCCCCAAAAAAAAAAAAAATCAAAACATTCGAGTTCATGCTTCAGAGTTGTGGTGCGCGTTAACTCAGGTCCTATAAAAGATCTCAGAGGTTCGAGGTTCGAAGTGCTTCTTTACAATGGGCACCCTTGTTGCTACAGAGCCTCCTCCCCCGCTGGCTACGTCACCATCGGCTCCGTGCGATATGGAGTACGCTTCGCTCCAACAACAACAACAACAACAACCAACACACCAGCGCCAAGTGAGCGGGAAGAGGTGCCACCTCGTGGGGACGCCGCGAACAACAGCCGTCAGCACCAGAACCGCAACGATGGAGAGTGCTGCTGTGGCGTCGTCCAGTTTCCGTGGCGTTCCATCTCTTCCTCCCGGATCCCACTTCCCTCCGAGGCTATGAATAGACGCGTCGGTATCTTTAGCCGCATAAATAGTGGCGAGCTGGCCCGCGGGCCTGCCAGTGGGAGCACTTTGCAGCACGAGGATGGAGGAGTGAGGAGGATGCAGCCTCGCCGCCGGATCCTGGTTCGCCCCAAACCTGACATACCTGCGTACCTCAAGTTGTGCAGCTCGCCCTCCCCAGACAGCGAGGCCTGTCACCTCATCACCCCTACCTGCTCCAGAGACAACCTGGCTGACGAAGGAAACAGCAGGAACACCCTGGACCGTCTGCACAGATTCCGCCTCGGTGGGGGCGGTGGGGAACATGGTGTCGAAAGCAAAGGAAAGAAGAAGGCGACCTCGCGGAGCAGCGACAAGGCAGAGCGCTTGCGCGAACTCACTGAGCGACTCAAGAGCGGCGGTTCCTCGTCTAGGCA